GAAGTGAGCCTGCACAAGTGACCACTGTGGGAAGCAGGTTGCTATAGTGGGAACACTACACGGTTGAGGGGCTAGGAGTGCCAGTGGGGAGAAGAGAAGGATTGGGGCTGCACTGTGCAAAACCATTGCACAGAGCAGGTAAGTGTGACACATTATTTGAAAAAAACCTCTGCAATCACTTTAAGCTGGCAATACAGTAGATAAGTCAGTTTTTCTTTTGTTCAATCAGCAGGTTGAATGAAAAAAAACTGACCCGATCCCCCCACCCCCCCTCTACAAATTTGAGGTGGTCAGAGGAATCCTCCCCTCCCTGTGTCTTTGAATTGTTCAGGGGAATCCTCCCTGTGTCTTTGTATTCTCACAGTGGAAAGCAGGTCTCTGTTGAACAAGCCGAATTTCGATCCATGTATGGACAGATTTACTATATGGTATTTTTATAGCTTGAAAGACAGTTTACGAATTCACAAACCTTGCTGTTATCAACATAAATCACTGACATGAATTGTGAGGTCTTATGAGGTACAGTATCTAGCACAGCAGATGTTTGAGGTGAAAATTTAACATCTATGCAAAATTTATAAAAGTGAAAAAACATTTGAATGAGAAATAATGAATGTGGGTAAAATAACATACATCTTATTGAACTGACCAAATTCATATTTATCAAAACAGGGTTAAAGAGGTCAGTTAAGCAGGTTTTTTGAGGTTTATTTTTTTTTTTTTTGTTTCAGACATTACAGGAGTATACATATGGAAACAGAAGTCAAGATTTTTAATGGCTCACATTTAAAGTTCACATTTGCAGCATCTTACACCCATACTTCAGATGTAAAATTTAACATGCACCTACCCCCCCCCCCCCCCCCCAATGACAAAGCAGGGGTTCCTCTCCTCCACACTCGCGGTCTCAAATTTCAAATTCAAAATCAGTATAGCTGGACGGGCAGAGTCATCTGTACACAAGAGAATCTGAGAAGTCCCATCTGCCACTATGTAGTTTTCAATGGACTATGAAGCAGCTTGTGAACATCCTCATAACTCAATGACATTTCTTCCAGCTTTCTAACAGAAAGCCCATACATAGGTATGGCCAAGAAAGCTGGAGTACATCTCTGCAGGAGTCTGACATTGCACTCATGATACACTGATCACAGGAGCAATGCTCTGTAGGCTCCTAGTAGAAAAAAATAGTAAATGCACATTTTTCTTTTCCACCGCAAAGGTGAACTTAGCCTTTAGAGTCTGCATCTTTAAGGGCTCATTCATGCTTGGCTGTTTTACCAACGCTTGCCAAACACCCCTATAGCGTTTGGCAAGCGTTGGTCCAGCGTTTGCGGCGCGTTTTCTAGCGCGCCGCATGCGCAGTTTAGCGGAGGTTGCTAGGCTTTTGCCGAGCGTTAAAAATGCCCCACAAATGCCTATAATGCAGTTTGAATGGTGTTACCGCTCCGCAACCGCGTCGCAAACCGCCAGCCGGGCGTTTGCGGAGCGGCACCATAGACTAGAATAGGAGGCTTCAACGCCTCCTGACTCGACCAGAGGCGTTCGTTTTGCCGCGATGCAACGCGACGCTCCCGTTAGAACAGCACCATGTACTGTAATGTGCACAATTGGCAGAGGCGTTTGGGAAGCGGTAAAAACCGCTTCCCCAAACGCCTCTCTGCTGCCTGCACACAACGCTAGTGTGCATGTAGCCTAAGAAACCAGGGGAATGTTCTTTCACCAACACTGGCAAAACATTACCAGCTGTCTTTTGAGGCTATTGGAATTTCTCCAGGCTTGTTATAAACGTTATTTTCATACGCTACACATGGGTACATTACACAAACAAGCTCATGGCTTAAGTAAATTGCACAGTCACTGGTATTTTTAATATCCCCTCACTTGTACTATAACACTTAGAATGCAAACCTGGACAGCTTCAGCATGTTTCTCTGAGTCCTCTGCCTGTTGCTCACAAGATGCAAATGCATCAAACTGGCTAAAATCTGCAAAATTTGGTTGCTCTGGAATTTGTTGAGGAGAAGTATTGGGAAGAGATATATGGCCCTCTGCTTCCATGGAGCGGTGCACATGTGTTCCTGAAGTCTACAAAGACACAATCAAAAGAAATTTAGTAGTAAATAATTATTGCTACTGCCAACGTCACACACACACACACACACACACACACACACACACACACAATCATGATCACCCGTCCGTACTGCAGTATCTCTGTACCTGTGTAGGCAGCGGACGAGGAGGAACAGCAGGAGGGTGGGCGACTGCTGCAGCCTGTGGCTGTCCTATTATTAAAAAAAGTCATCATTAACGTACATTCACAGTATTTTCTTATCTTACGAATACTTACCAATAATTTAATGTCACGTGTTATAAAACAAAATGCTTTTTCTATCTTAAAGTCCACATGTAGTATACAGGATAATTCAATTGCTGAAAAAAATTACAGGGCTGTCTTCCAATAACAAACAGGGTGGATAAAAATCGATGATTTATTTAAAAAAAAAAAAAAAAAAAAAAAAAAAAAAAAAAAAAAAAAATCGAAAATTATGATTTTTATTAAATTTATTTTAATAAAATGCTTTTGGAGTAAAAATCTATCGAAAGATAGTTTTCTATTTAAGATACATTAATAATTTAGCTTATTCACTTATTCAGCATGAAATGGAGCTTAGTTATGTAGAATGAGGCTGTATATTCTGCAATATGTACATTGATGCATTCACAGAATTTTACAGTAACCATGAGAAAAAACATGAAATAAAAGAATTTGAGTAGTCCTCCAACTATGTGTGATTAACCTAAAATCGGTTCTGATATCGCTGTTTTACTAACCTGACAGCTTATTATTCTAAAAAGGAAACCTTCATTTGGTTTGCAAATATTATTAAAGATTCTAACTACCAGCAAGAATGAGTCGGATTCCTTACATTTAAAGAGCACCTGTCATTTTAGATCCATCATGGTAGCGCCTGTTAGCGGGCATCCCCTCACCTGCTGCTGCCACGTCCCTCACCTTGTTGTGTCACTGCCGCATCACCAGCCGCCCCATTAAAGCGAATGGGACTGTTGGTGAGTCAACAGCGGGTCAGAGGAGGAGCCACTGTGGGACAGAGATGACAGTTGCTCTTTAAAAATTATGATTAAATGAAGCCTTTAAAATCAACTTGGTTTAAATCAAATCCACCCTGAACATAAATACAAATGCATTTTTTTTATGATGATTCCAGCCTCCACTTAAACTTACCTGAGCTGGATCTTGATCCAGCAGTGTGCATGAGAGTAGAGGACAGAGAGGCAGCAACGGGAGCCATTGGCTCCTGCTGCTGTCAATCACAGCCAGTGTGCAGGGAGTGGTGGGTGGGACCTAGCCGTGATCTGTGTGTCAATGGATGGAGGAGCACACACAAGTGCCCCCATAGCAAGCGGCTCAGGGCTGTTCCATGCAAGACCATTGCACAAAGCAGGTAAGATATGTTTGTTATTTAAACAAAAATAAAATGTGAAACTTTACAATCACTTTCAAACAAAACCAAAACAGTAAATTAACTTTATATTAGAAGCTCCAAATGTGTCATAACTAGATGTGACTTGAACACAGTTTATAAGTAAATGCATTTTATACATGAAACTCGCTCATTCAAAATATCTATATCTAAAATAGTGACATCAGACTCAATTTACAAAATGACCATAAAAATAAGTCTTTTCAGTGTGACAATTACATGTGACTCAAAACAGCAACATAGGGAGAAAAAATAATCCCCGTCAGGTGGATTTTCTTTCCTGTTGCAGACTTTCCCTTATTTTCGGTCTTGTGAAACTGTTGTCTGCAGGACAGAAGTAAGGGAAAAACTCTCTGGATAGCTTAAAAAACTGACTGGATGACAAATCCTTCCCTACCAAGTCCAAAACTAGAAAAAGGTTTTTGGTTTGACATATACTAAGTGCCATGTATACAAATCTTTACCATGTCAGACCATCAGATGAGCTACAAAAGTTAATAACACCACAGTCCTATAGATGAATAGTAACTCAGAGAAGGAGATTTATCAAATAAATTAGCAACATATTTTTACATTATCGATTGCAATCCAGGCTGCCTATCAATATTTTTTTTATGTATTTGCGACCCCAGTACCTGCAAATCCAGACAACAAAGTGAAATTATCCTGCAAAAGCTTGAACTGCATGACAAGGGAAATCACATTATCATCAATGGCGGCTGTTCACATCAATGCGACTCAGCACAGTACGATATTGGAAAAGGCTCCTGTAATACTTTGGTGTGACTTGGCCCCATACAATTTGCAAAAATGAAACCAAGTTGCACTACATAATTACACTGAAAATCGTGCCAAAATTGCATCGCATTAGTGTGAACCCGAGCATAAATCATTTCACATGTGTTCGTGCTGTGTGACAGAGATGATAATCATCATATCCCCCCCCTTACACACACACTACTTCACAAAGTGTGAACAAAAATACTTCCAACTTTTTTGCACATAAAACTAAAAGTAAAAAACAACAAAACAACAAACAATAACAATGGAACAAATGACAAGAGAACAACTGGCAGCAGTAAGACAGTAGGGGGGCATGGGAATTAACCAAAACTGGAGCAGACAGAATCTGCAGTAGCTGTGCATACTAACCAATCAGTTTCCAGCTTCAGCTTGCTCAGTTAGGCTTTGAAAATGAAAGTTAGAAGCTGAATGGTCGCCAAACAGAGCTGCTCCAGATTTTAGCTGCTGCAGTCTTAGTAAAATTTCTCTCAAAGTGCTTTAACACAAAAAACCAACAAAAAAAACAACACACCCATAAGCTGCCACCTTACCGTATTTTATTATAAAATAGAAATGTTAGTCAAAAGGATCGGTGACTGTTAGGAGAATATAGCGAACAGTCTTCTCACCTGCTGTGCTTGCAAATGTTCTGTTCATGTCTAAAGATGAGGAGCGTGAATGTGACGCATGAGGTCTTGGTGGAGGGGGTGGTGGTGCTGCATTGTCTGGAGATGTACTTGAATGGGACCTGTAAAATAAAATATACTACTTTGAAATGATGAAAAGCTTGCATTTGCAACTCACCGTTCAAATCAGCTCTTCACTTTCTACATTCTTGTTATGCCAACACATTCAAAACATTCAATCTTTTCTCACACACAAGCAAGCCAGGAACCCAATGCAATGACCCTTTGTAAATGTTAAACTGCAGAAATTAAGGTGGGTCGACACATTTACAAACTGCAGCTGACTCCGTATCACATAAGGCATCTAGCTAAACTACAAAGCAGATAAACCAGCCTTTAAAAGAGCCAAGTTGCCAGGGAAACAAGTGTATAATAGGGCGTTGGTTGAAAATCAGATAGGACACAGGTAGGGAAATCATTTCAACATCTGATTCTACAGCAACACCTATGTTTACCAACTGCAAATGGAAGATTTCTGTTTAGCCTTCTTAAAATGATAAACTACTAGTGCAGTTTGATTGTATGCACATTTACAACAATCCCTGACATACTCACACTACAGACAATAGTATATCAAGGAGCACTTCCCTCAGTTTGGAAAATTGTTAAAAGGTCAAGAAAGAATACAAACGGGCACTAAAATTTCCCTTTACACTTTACATTTGGCCTAACGACAACAAAACAAAACACAACTCCCCTAATCGGGGAAACCCAAAACTCATGAGTTTCAGTAACATTTTGACTGCTGAAGCCAGATTGAAAAGTATATGTAAAAAAGTGCAGCTAAAATAAAAACAAAAATGATAAATAAAATGCTAAAATAAAACATATATATATATTAATAGTCCCAATGGAGATGAAATAAAGTGAGAAATGCACACTAACCAGATGTGCACATTAAATGTGCAGTGTAGATATCCTACAGTTCAGCAAGTGGTCATCTGGGTGGTAAAGATAGGTAGATTCCCTCGGACAGAATGGATCCATGGATGGCACATAGATAGTTAAAAGGTTCGCTTTGAGGGTAAAACCAGGCACAACTCCATCAAAGGGTAAGACTCCTTCACTGGGTAGAGCGGATTATGGTGTCTAAAAAAGAGATGCTCCCCACAAGGGGTCAAGACAAAAAGGTGCCCATAGTGATGCATTGTTTAATAAACAACATTTATTGAAAGCAAATGATTTGGTTCTTTCTCTGAGGATGTGCTTGGCACGTAACGCGTAAGGAGGAGCCTACGTACGCCGTGACGTCACGCCGTCGGAGCATCGTGGAGCTCCGGCGGCCATTACTCCTTTCAGGACGGTTAGTCCTTCTGTACACTGCAACTTTTTATCGGATGCATCCCTTTGCTACTGTCATTTGCTTTCAATAAATGCTGTTTATTAAACAATACATCACTATGGGCACCTTTTTGTCTTGACCCCTTGTGGGGAGCATCTTTTTTTAGACACCATAATCCGCTCTACCCAGTGAAGGAGTCTTACCCTTTGATGGAGTTGTGCCTGGTTTTACCCTCAAAGGGAACCTTTTAACTATGTGCCATCCGTGGATCCATTCTGTCCGAGGGAATCTACCTATCTTTACCACCCAGGTGACCACTTGCTGAACTGTAGGATATCTACACTGCACATTTAATGTGCACATCTGGTTAGTGTGCATTTCTCACTTTATTTAATCTCCATGGGGACTATTAATATATATATGTTTTATTTTAGCATTTTATTTATCATTTTAATTTTTGTTTTTATTTTAGCGCTGCACTTTTTTACATATGTTTTTGTGAAGTTTGTTATTGGTTATCCTGTGTGCCTAGCTGCTTTATTTGAAAAGCACTCACTTATTTTATTTCACTTGTATTTCAGATTGAAAAGTAGATGCATTTATTATACAAGCATGTAGCTAGAATTACATACAGGGAGAGCAAAACAATACATGGTATGGATTCAAAGTAATTCTCTAAACTTCCTTGGAAAGCTAATACAATTTATATGTCCTAAAATGGGTGGAAATCTAGCTATGACTTTGAAGTTACAGTCTGGTTTCTGGTGGAGTTCTTTGAAATGTAAATGAACATTCACACAAGCATGTTACATCCCCTAGTTTCTTTAGATAGCAATCTTCCCAGCTGGAGGTGTGAATAGCATTCTAACACAAGAAATACAGCTGTTACACAACAAGACTTCTAATAACAAAATATATATTCAATATACATATCCACTTAATCAAAACTAAAATGTTTGATATATAAAATGGCTGTTACATTTTCAAATACACCCCCCCCCCCAAAAACAAAATTAGAAGAGTTTACATGAATGCGGACAATGGGAAAGAGATTCATCTAAGGAAGTCTGTCAGGATAGAAATATGGGAGCCATTAGCACTGAATTGATTTTATAAGTGCATACCCCGGAGTCATCTTGAGGTCTCCCGACGGTCTCAGAGCCTGCACCTTAAAATAACACAGAACCACAGCTCCTATCTTTCCATCCAGCCTGGTTTCTAATAAGACTCAGCGTATGGCTAAAACATTGCAAGCATTAAGCTCTTTAGAACATACCTCTGTCTAGTGACCACATTTCCAATCTCTTCAGGATCAGAGTTGAAGGAGTCTGAACTGCTATAGCCATCAGCTGCAAAATTTGAACAAGTAATTAAACCACTATTCAATGCCTAGTAGGGTCACAATGGAGATTCAGTTTAAACAATCTAGATGCACACTACTCAATATAGCATCCACAAGGTAAGCACATACAAAATATAACTGAAAGAAAATAAAAATAAAAAAATAAATACTGTACATACACAGATACATATGCTGTTACTTACAGGCAGGATTCCCAGAAACAAATTTAACAGAGCTCTCTTCTGGGAGTTCTTGTGGCTTTATGTGCAAAGGGCTTGTGGGATTTGTTGTATCTGAAAAAAAATGTATGCGAATGCAATTTACATACATCTGTGTACATAGGCTGCAATGATCACTCAAAATAAAAATAAATAAATACAAATAGGAAAGCTGAAAGCATGAATGGGGTGGGCATTCAATTACATTTTGTGAAACTTCATTTTTAATGCAGAGTCTTTTTTTTTTTTTTTTTTTTTTTTTTTTTAACTCCTCCACTCCTAAGCACTACTGACATCTGAACTAGCCACATAACATAACCTCAATGCAACTGAAAAAAAGACAAAAAAATATACCCTCTCTCTTTAAAAAGATGGATAAAAACTAATACTGTGAATGTATAATATATATGTAAAGCGCGGCGTAAATTGACAGCGCTATATAAGTACCTGAAATAAATAAATAATACTGCTCAAACGGCTATTAGTGGTAGTGCCGTGACTACTTCTTGTACTACTGCATGAAAGCAAAAACAGCAACCACTCTGAACAATTTAGAATTCACAAAAGGAAATGTACACATGGGCAGAGTAGAACAAACAGCACAAACATTTTCCAGCAGGCTAATCAGCTAATTAGAGGGGAAAAAAGTTAAACTGGTTTAACATACTAGTTTAAAAACAGAAGTTTTTGTTAACTACATTTGCAAATATATAAGCTATATGTCACAACTTGGTAGTTCAGTTAGTGAAGCAAACTAAGGATCAGGACTAGAGTACAGTGGAGCCTTGATGTGACAGTGTGGCTTCACATACATCTGCAAATGCATACAACAGAGGCCTCCATTTTGTTTAGCCTAAACACTTTACCTTATTTGCTACATTTTATTTAGGAGATGTTAGCCCTATGCTCTCATGACTATTTAACAATGCAAGACATGTGGCCTGGTGATACCATCTGGTACTATTATACCAGTTCGTGATAATTGGGCCAGTAGGCGCTTTCCTTCAAAAAATATGATGCAGTTGTGTGGGTGGGCACAGCTTGGCTCCAATTCAAATGAAAGAAGCACAAAAGAAGACACTTTATTTTAGGTGTATTAAATAGTGTAAAGCAATTTTGAATGCCAATTTATTTTTAGTAAAAGGCTAGAAATAACAAAAAGGTGAAATGCTTCAAAATTAGTAATCAAATTGAATACAGTACACAAAACAGGCCATAAGATTGCATTTTCAAAGGCAAAATTGCAAACATGAATACAGCTAATGGTTCACTTGTGTACATGTTATACTTATTTAAATACAAAGAATGCCAAGAAAGCAAAGATCACTAACCACTTCCAGTTCTTTTTAGTTCCATTTCCTGCATATGAATTTTACTGGGAGTCATTCTAATTGGGACTGGGTGGACTATAGCTGTATCCTGTAAAGAAAGGGAGACTCTTTATAATATGTAAACAATTCAATCAAATAAGTATCAGAAAAGTAAAATGGTTTAAAGCAATTGTGCATGCTCTAAAAATTGTATTTAGGGCCAAAAATGGACCGGTTTTGAACTTTTCAAATTATGACAAGAACATATTAATTTCTTTACTCTCCTTGGCATAAAACACTGTATGTATGACTCAATGCTTCACAAATAATAATTTTTTTGGAACCCTAGCTAACTCTTTAGAACTCTAGCTAAGATAAAAGTGAATGTTTATGGCTATTAAGGACCAGAGACAACAGTTCAAGCTATTCAGCTCAAAAGTATTACAAAATATCGGTTTTCTCCACACCAACAGGTATAACAGCAGCCCAACCATGCTGAAATAATGGAGCTGGTATGACTGCCATTCCATCTACAGACATGCTTTATCAGTTATACCAGCAGAAGAAACTCCCATGATGACGTGAAGGCGACCATCTCCTCACAAATCATTTGCTTGTGAAAACAACGTATATAAACATTTTAGATGTTTTTCCTAGTGAAAAATTACAATTTCATATTTGCTTGCTAGGAATACAGTTCAAGTTATATTTTGTGATTACAGATTTCCTATAGCTATACACACTAATCAGCCATGACATTATGACCATCCACCTAATATTGAATAGGTACCCCCTTTTGCCATCAAAACAGCCCTGACCTGACGAGGCATGGACTTCAGAAGTAACATTCACGTAAATAGCAGGATCCAAAGTTTCCAAGCAGAACATTGCCCAAAACACTACACTGCCTCTGCCAGCTTGCCTTCTTTGCATACTGCATCCTGGTGCCATCTTTTACCCAGGTAAGCAATGTACATGCACCCGGCCATCAACATGATATAAAATGCTATTCATCAGACTAAGTCTCCTTCTTCCATTGCTCAATGGTCCAGTTCTGGCACTCACGTACCTACTTCAGGCACTTCTGGCTGTGGGTCAGCAAGTCAGCATGTGCACCCTGACTGTTCTGCAGCTACAAGGCTACATATGCAACAAACTGTGAAGCACTGTGTGCTGACACCTATCAGATCCAGCTAGAACTTTTTCAGCAATTTGAGCTACAGTAGCTTGTCTATTGGGTCATACTACATGGGCCAGCCTTCGCTGCCAACCTGCATCAATGAGCCTTGGCCACCCATAACCCTTTCGCCAGTTTTCCTTCCTTGGACCACTTTTTGCAGGGCCTGACCACTGCAGACCAGGAACTTTCCACAAGAGCTGCAGCTTTGAAGTTGCTCTGAAACAGTCATCTAGCCAATACAATGGCCATTGTTAAAGTCAATCAAATCCTTAAATTTATGGAGAGATCTGGGGTCAATAAGACCCCAAATCACTCCTCTGCCCTTAAAAGCATGTATTCACATCAAGATTGGGGTGATTAAATGCTTTTCTTATTTAAACATGGTGCCGTTTATATCCAAGTAAACCGGAAGTGATGTAAGGTTATCGCTTCTGGGTTGCTATAATCACAGAGCCGAACAAAGGCGATCCGGTCTTTGTTCGGTTCTATGAACAGCCAGCGAACGCGCCGGCTGGTCAATCGGGACTTCCAGTGGGATAGGAAGTCCCTTCCCACTGCTTGTAATAGCAATCGAGTGGCTAATTAGCTGCTCCAAATGCTATTACAAGATAGCCGACCACCGGTTCTAAAAGAACGGTACCGGAATGCCTGCAGTTGCAAGTATACCTATTCAAAGACTCCAGCGACATACGGGTACATCACTGGAGCTCAAGTGGTTAAGCTTGCCCATTGTTTCTGCTTTCAACACATCAACTTCACAGAGACACGTTTCACTTTCAGGCCTAATATACATCCCACCCACTTTCAGATGTCATTGTAACGAAATATTCAGTTATTCACTTTACCTGTCAGTGGTTATAATGTTATGGCTGATCAGGTATAGGATGATAGTAAATCTTTCCCAGAGAGTCATACAAAAACTGGTGCATACAGAATCTGGTGCAGCTGTGCATAGAAACCAATCAGCCTTCGGGTGTTATTGTCAAAGTCTAGTTGAGCAGGCTGAAGTTAGAAGCTGATTGGTTACTATGCACAGCTGCACCAGTTTTAGTAAATATCCCAGTTTTCTTTTATTTAGAGTAGAAATTAAAAGTCAGTACAATATTGGTTGTGATGGTCTTCAACTAATTTAACACAGATGTATTTTTTTGTACAAATAAGCCCCACCACAAGCAGTATGTATAACAGCAAAACCAGGTGAAAGCTTCTGAAATCATCTGCCTGCCTCTTCCCCTCAGCCAATTAGAGAACATCTTGCAATCACTGATAAAAATACAAGGCGAGTCCTGAATGACTGAGATGTCACTCAACTGTTTCTTTTTGGTCACAGATAAGGAGGTATACCTGACTCAGCCAGAAAGACAGCATGGTTGACTGTATGCATCGCAAGCTGCTGCACTGTATTACAGTCTCCACAGCAGCTGGACCGTTCTGCCACAGTAAGGATTCAGTTCAACCAAGCTGTCCCAATATAAAAATCTTTAAAAGCACAATAGTGTCTAGTTTAATCACTTATAAACACTCCTTTGTATTTGTATTTTTTTGGAGACAGAGCTTTCTTTTGGTGGTAGTTAATGAATTTTTTTTTGCTAAAAAAAAAAAAAAAAAAAAAAAAAAAAAAAAAAAAAAAAAGACTGAAAATTTTGAAAAATATAAAAAGTTTCTTAGGTTTCTGTGATAAAATTTTGCAAATAAGTAATTTTTCTTCTTCCCTGATGTATGCTGATGAGGCTGCACTGATGAGGACACACTGATAATCAGGGCTCTGATGATCTGTGCTCTGATTAACAGTGTAAACCACGTACTGACAGCCTTGCTGGTTATCGGCTTTCCTTTCTTCATACAGACACAGCCTTTTGAAGAAAGGACTGACGATAACTGGCAAGTCTGTTTACATGTGATAAGCTGTGATTGGACACAGCTGATCATATGATAAAGGGCTGCTGTGATTGGCCCTTTACCTCAATCTGTGATCAGCTGTATCCAAAGGACACATCGGTCACAGTATGCGCCGGTTCTGGGAGGGCATCCATGGATACCCTCCCGGAACTAGAAAACTGCATATAGCCGTCTTTCGGCTAGAGCGTAGTATTGAAGTGGTTAATAAAGCCATAATTCTTCAAATTTTAAATGCTGGACTTGAGCCAAATAGCTAAATACAATATTAAAAGATCTACTGGATGTAGGAACTGTTTTTACCATAGATCAAAAGATTTGTATTTTTGTCCATGGATTCCTGAGATTTACAAACCCATCAAAAGAGCCAAGTTGATGACTTGCTGCTGTTAAACATCAAAGGCTTGGTTACCTCCCCGTCCCCAGCCTGAGCATGGACATTTCTCTCTCCACTCAGAATATGCATACTGCAGTACACCCAATTGGCTCCTAGGGTGCTTCCACATCCTAACAGTCTGAGCTCTAATATACAGGTTATGGCAGAAGATGACTGTACAAATAAATAAGTCAGTTGCGCTGTTTCATTTAGAGATACGATTTTATTTCAACGAATCCATTAATTACACGGATGTCTAATTTCTTATATCAACCTGTAGCTCACTTTTAGGTTGCCTCAAACAGCTAATCTTTTTAGTTATGATTAAGTCTTATATTAGGATTGCATAATACACTTACCTCGCATGGTTTTAAATATTTCCTTTCTGTAGGATCCTTACATACCTTTTGATTACCCTAAAATAAAATATGTGATCCTGCAGATCTGTGGTTGAAAAACTAATGCTATAACTAAACTAAATACAATGAAATAATTTCCAACACAGTGTTTTCTTTTTTACATAAAAAAAATCTAGAATCTGGACTATGTTGCATGAACCTTTAGGAGGTATAAACTGCACTTTAAAATGAACAGATTACAAGGTCAGAAAAACATGGTGTGTGTGTGCGCTCTTACAGTGATGTGTGCAATTAGCTGTAAAATATATTGATTGAAAAACCGGCGTCATTGTAACAACCAGCTTTGTAAGGACTAAAATAGTGAAATCAGCATGATTGCAATAACCTTCACCAGATGCAGGATTATACAACTAAGGGTTTTCTGCCTTTGGAAGCAGTCATTAAATCATGCAGAAAAGAATTACAGAAACAGTGTTAATACAATGATTAATTTCAAACAAGCAAGCTATGTGATTGACTTACAGGATCAGCTGGTGCAATGTTAGAATCAAATTGGGTCAGAGTTTGTGAGCTTGAAGAGCGTTCGCTAAATGTCTCCCACTGCTGAACAGACAGAGGAGACACAAGTCAGCATGATAAAAGAGAGGAAAAGATCCAAGCAGAAGTAATCCCACATTCAAGTTGCAATGCAAGTGGCACCAGTTTCTCATGGAGTAAAATGCTTATAATGGTGACTTTTAATCAAATGAGTAACATGGAAAATGTAAATATATATTTATTTTTTTCCAATTTTCACCTATTCTAATTTTTTTCTCTCCAAAATGGTCAACACTAGTCATTGCAACCCGCTGCATAGAAATTAAATTTATTAAATAACGAGATAGATAAATAAGACTGTGCAAAAAATTAGAATCCATATGTAAACGTCACATTTCTAAAGTCTACTTTCCATAATGCACTGCTCTTCTGATGAGCATCTGAAAGACTCAGCACTCCCAGGCAAACAAGCCAGGACAGAATGTCCATATCATGCAATAAAGATGCCTTAGGGCTCATTCCCATCAACATACATGGCTTAACACATGTTATGTTGACGTGAGTTGCCATGTACATTATTTCTGAAAGAACAGATTTAAATGACAAATTGTAGGTCAATGCTTTCACGTGAAGGACTTTTTTCCAACACACTGCAAATTATGGGGAAAGAATATTACAAGCAATGAATTTTCTGATCTCCATGTAATTTCCTAGCTCTGCAAAATGTATGACAACGCATCTGGTAGAAACGAGCCCATAGC